GAAACTCATGTAACCGCTTAAGTTCCGTCTGGGATCAGAAACGACCTCTCTAAATTGTTCGCTACCAAATAAATTTTCAGACAAGAGGATTCCTACTCCTTGTGGCGCCGAATAAATGGCCAAAAGAAAATATTAATAGCGCTATAATTTGTTTTTGCGGCCATGCAATACGCGTTAGCGGTGTCTACGCCAGTTAAAAAAGAAGAAACAATGATTGATAGAATATATTGTTGTCGCACTATCTAATCGTAATTTATTATTAGCATATTCTTTAATTGCATAATATTTATTTATTTAATAATGATGACAAATATTTCAAGATTTTTTCAATACATACAAACGCAGATACTCATCAGTACCAAATCGTGGTTATGAAATTAATTACTCATAGCCAGTTTGATAGGTGTTGCACTCATGCACCTGTGTGCAATTTTAATTAATTCATTAGGAGACCAAGAGAACTACCCTAACAGTCTCTGCACGAATTCGCACGTTATTTATATAAAATAAATGTTTGTATCGAAATTCTATATCTTCACTGCAGTGATTAGTGTGTCATCACAAATTCTGTCTGGATCATCTGAACCAAGTATGATTTAAGCATTCATTAGTAATATTGTTTATATTTATGTACGAGTATATATGCACTTAGCTGGTGACGAAAGTATAATTTTAGAATCCGATTTAGATGTTGACTGCTTAATAGCAAAAATATTTATAACCGGAAATCGCTATGAATATACAGTAAAGTCACGATATTTGGAACTAAGTGAAGTCAAACGTATATTTTTGTGAAAAATATTAAAAAAAAAATTATAATTTACTTTAAAACAACTTCTTTATTCTCAATTGGCGTAGGCATCGCTTTCGCAATTACAGCCGAGTTTATGAAAGCAAACCAGTCGTTCCTTCTTTCCGCCTTATGGCGACAATTGAAAGCAACACGTAAATACAGTTTCTACTCCACCGGTTTCCAACGAAGTGGGCGCCTTCCTCTTGCTCGGTTTACACCAGAAGGTACTGTTCCGATAACTTTCAACGTTGAAGTGTTGCCACTCATGACCTAACCAGCGCAGCTGTTGCCTCTTGATTCGTTGAACTATGTCAAGGGTTCGAGTGCTGGTTTGCCCAACAACCTAAATTATAGAAAATAAATTTTTCTAATTGCGCTCACTCCTCGACAGAGAATGTTAAGCTCTCCAACTGTTTTTCTGGTTTACAAAACTCCATCGCTCGTTTGAAGGCGACTTAAAATAAACTGTAGGTCCCTCCATTTGTTGGAAAAACATCAAAGCGCATATCGCGAAATGGAGACAGAGTTCCACCGAAAATCGCTTCAGCGGTTACAAAACGTCAATTATATTGTATATTATATATATATATATATATTTAGTATATATTGGGTGTATGCATTAATTCGTGCAGTTTTCTAAGAGAGGGCTCTATTAGCATTACTTCGCGTCGGGCTATATTCATGTGAAAGGTACTGTCATTTCGTGTCGTTTCAAGTAGAAAAGTGCTACCGAAAGCCATCGTATTCTACTGGACGTTTATGATGACCAGGCTTTAGCCGAACGAACGTGCCAAAAGTCGTAATTTCGACTTAGACGACGGAGAACGACTCGGACAGCCAATAAAATTTCAAGACGAAGAATTGGAGTCATTGCTCAACGCAGATGCATGCCAGACACAGGAAGAACTTACAAAAGTATTAGGAGTTGATCAAGCAACCGTTTCCAGAAGATTAAAATCATTTTTTCACAATAAAGTCTTAATTTTCGAAATAAAAAATATGTTAATGTCGACATCTATCTCACACAGCTAATTGTTCCATCGTCTGCGGTCTTTACCTTTGCTCAATAAATGGTTCTCAAAACCTTACTCTTCTAGCGCCGACTCATCAGACATCGTCTTCGCCAACGGTGACGTGAATGGCGATACGGGATCATAGTGACTGTTTGTTTGACGGCAAAAGCTATTTCATATTTACCTCCTTCGCCCATTCGCCTCGCTCCCTATTAAGTCCAGAAATATAAACGACATTAAAAATTTTTTTTCCTCAGCTTATAGGACTCCTGCGGGTTAGAGGCTTAACACTTTACCTGTTCTAAAGCAGACCTGGTGGAAGTTGCTGTGTTGCTGTTACAGAAACTTCTAGGAAGAAAAAAACGCTCTTATTGCTGATCCTTCACTGCCGCACAGTGGCCCACTTCATAGAAGATGAGGGTAAAAATATTATTCTGCATTGATTTTAATGAAAATTTGCACCTTCGATAATTTTAGGATTTTATTGTGAATTAATTTATATTTTTTATAAGAATGTAGCACAAGTAAATTTGTACTAGAAAAATAGTTTAAACAACTTCGTTCAATAGTTATATATGGATACTTTGTAACCGCTGAAGCTATATTCGATCGAGCCCGTTCTTCAATTTGTGGTATGTGTCTTGATGTTTTCTAGCAAATGGAAGGATCTACAGTTTATTCTCAACCACCTTCGAGAGGCCGATGGATTTTTATGAGGAGCATTTAATTCATGTCTGAAATACGCTGGGCCACTTAACATTCTTTACCGAGAGCGCTCGGTATTAGAAAAATTAATTTTCTAAAATTTTGAATGTTGGTCGAATTAGGACTCGAACTCTGGTCTTCAGAATGACAGTACACAATGCTGAATCTCTGGTATCACGCACCTTATTCGAAAGATATGCCTGTTCTTCTAATAAATCTGCATATTATAGGCAGCTAAAACTTCCTTTGAATCGGGTCCTGCGATGAGGAAGATAAAATTAATGATATGTGTAATTTTTCGAAGTTCAAAAATAGTATCAGGTGTACAACTTTGCTTCCGCCGACGACATTTATGGTGGTTTCAACGTTTTAAAAATGTTGATTTCGATGTCGAAGACAAACATTGTGGTGGAAGAGAAAAAACCTTCAAAGATTTACTACGAGCTCTTAAAACCGGGTGAAATCGTCACAGGAGATCGCTACCGAACGCAAATGGGAAGTCTTGCCCCACCCGCCGTATTTCCCAGATGTCGCCCCTTCTGACGTCCACCAATTCCGTTTGATGGATTGCTTCATGGATAGCGTCAAAAGAGGACTCCTTTTTTCGAGCCGGGATCCGAAAATTGCTGGAATGATGGGAGAAAGTTTTCGCTAGCGAAGGACAATACTTTGAATAATATATCTGTAAGCACTTTTTCGCGATAAAGTTTTTAATTTTGAAAAAAAAAAAAACGGCGGAAGGAAAGTTGTACACCTGATAAGTTTTGTAAACTGTTGCAAAATATCGAAGTAATTATTTGAAAATAAAATAATAAAAAGAAAAAATTTTATGAATCCTCGTATTCTAAAAATGCGGTTTACGATTTTTGCCTAGTGAAGAGCTGGGTTACCCGCCTCTCCCTAAACAACCGAGGGGCGCGCATGAGTGATAATTGAAAAATCTAACCGCAAACCAGTGACAAACCGGACTGCTCTAACCCCGAAACCGATCGCAGAAGGTCTCGGTTTCATTTGCCTCTTACACTAAACAGCGACAGTGGAAAAGGGATAAGGAAACTACTTAATTATTTAAAGCTTTCAGTGGGTAGGTTTTGATACAAAAAAGAGAGCCAGAGGTATCAATATTGACCTCTTATCAATTTAGTTAAAATAAAACTCCAAAAATCTTTGTGCATTTATGGAGCGTAGACAGATAACCGACAGCATTTGTGGTGACATATTTCAACAAATCAGTAACTAAATAACTCGGCCGCGGTAGCTGAGCGGTTAGTATTGCGTACTGACATTCGGAGGGCTCGGGTTCAAATTCCGGTGCCACCAAAATAAAAATGCTATGGAAAATTAATTTAAATAAAAAATTTAGTTAAATTTTCTAGTTGCGGGTGCCCCTCGGTAAGTAATGTCCACCCCTCCGAGAGTATGTCGACATGAAATAAAAGCTACTCTTAAAAGAACCATCAGCCGTTTGGAGGCGGCTGAGTATCAACTTTAAGTCTCTCCAGTTGTTGGAAAAACATCAAGACGTAAAACCACAGATTGGAGGAGGAGCTCGGCCAAAAAATCGCTTCAGCGGCTACAAAGTGTCAATTATATATATATAGTTACATTTTTAGGTTAGTTTAAAAATCCGTTTGATTAGTTTTGCGAAAGGATCTAGGTTTGTTGGCTTTCAAAACAGGAGTTGAAGCCGAACGACCATCAAGCGCGTAGCACGTTCGATGATTGGGCTCTTAATGATGAATGAGGAGGCCACCGATCACGATTTTCCCAAGAAAATTTTGTTCAGCTCACTTTTGATTGAATGGGTATGTTAATAAGCAAAATTGTTGCATTTGGAGTGGTGATAATCAACAAGACATTGTTGAGACGTCGAAACATGTTCAAAAAGTCATTATTTGGTGTGATCTATGGGCAGAGGGAAACATTAGTCTATATATTATGTTAAAAACAAAGCCAGCCGTAAAGTACAGTCAATGGGAAATGCAATAGATTCATGATTAATGACTTTTTCGTGCCCGAATTGCAGGATGTTGATGTGGACGATCTTTGGTTCTAACAAGAAGGCGAAATAACTATTTTTTTGAATTATCTCACGTCTAGGGTCTACGATGTGGCCTCCAAGGTCGTGTAATTTAACACCGGTGTTCAATTCTTTTGGGTGTTATGTGAAGTGGCTTATCTACACAGATAAGCTCGAGACGATTGGCGCCTTATTGCAGGCATACCGCCTGCAGCAAAGAGTGGTCGAAAATGAGACCTCTCGGCTGGAATTTTTTATCATGTTTTAAAATATAATTGCGAACTGTTATTTTCATATTAAAGCTAAATTCTTGGAAATTGTATAATTGTATACATTTTAATTCTACTTAGAAAACGACTTGACTAAACAGAACACCTTTTACAAAGTTTTTTATATTTTTTCTAGTTTTTATTTAAGATTAAAATTTATATCATTATAAAAGACATGAACTCTGCTTCTATCCTTACAGACGACCCAATACGGAAAATTCTTCACATACTTGCGCCGTAAATGGCCATAAGGCATTAAGCAATATACTATGTATATAACAAAATAAATATAATCAAATTGTATTTAGATTTTGTAATGAAAATTACTTTGTGATATTTAAAAAGAAACAAAAACTACTCATTTTAATTGAACTGAATCTTCATCATTATATTAAATATATTTTGAAAATTGTGTTGAAAAAAAACCAAAAAAACCAAAGATTTTTGTTCCGCGATAAAGAAAAACTATTTTGAAGAAGAAAAAGTGTTATAAACAATTAGAAAAACAAAGCACAAAAGAGTAAAAAGTTAAAGCTACTATTACAAAAAAAAAAACAAAAACAAAAACAACGAAAAAAATAATTGAAATGGCTGAAAAAGTGGAACACACACAAGCGGCACAACAAATGAACCAACAAAATGATGGTCGCAAAATACGAAAATCGCCAGAATTCCAACCGATCGCAAATATTACACCTGGTGCCATACTCAGAGAGCGCAGCTTCGTGCGCACCTCCAATCAACAGGTAGGCGAACGTACCATTATTAATATCAAATGATGTGTGAATAAATATGTAGCATATTTTATTTTCCTCAATGAAATATACGCAATTATATACACATATACGAGGTATGTTCAAAAAATAAAACGAATTTAGTGTTTTTTTTTCAAAAATTATTTATTTATTCATGAATATCTATTTTGTCCCCTTCAAAGTAATCGCCATGAGATATTATACACTTGCGCCAACGGTTTTTCCAATCTTCGAAATACTTCAAAAAATCATTTTCTTTTTATCTTATTCAGCTCCTCCTTCGATGCCGTCTTTATCTCGTCAATCGTAGCGTAATGTCGTCCTTTCATGGGCCTCTTCAGTTTAGGGAACAAGAAAAAGTCACAGGGGGCCAGATCTGGGGAATATGGAGTTGCGGCATCATTAGCGTGTTGTTTTAGGCCAAAAAGCCGCGCACAAGCTACGATGTGTGAGCAGGGGCGTTATCGTGGTGCAAAAGCCAATTTTTGTTCTTCCACAAATTCGGGCGTTTCTGGCGGATTGGTTCGCGCAAATTGCGCATAACTTGCAGGTAATATTCCCTATTGACCGTTCTACCCTGTGGCCATACTCTTTTATCCACTTCATTAATTTTTTCGTCTGCTGCTGAAGTGCTCGGGCGTCCGGTACGCTCTTTGCCGTTCACATCCTCTCGGCCTTCTGAGAACATTTTTTACCACCGATAAACGTTGTTTCTGTCCAAGGTAGCTTCTCCGCATGCCACAGTCAACATTCGGAATGCATTCGCGCACTTAATTTCGTTTTTCACACAAAGTTTGATACAGGTTCTTTGATCCATTTTTTTGAATAGGTAAAAATTGGAGTCCATCCACAACACGTGCTAGCAAAGCAGCTGTCAACAATTAAGTGAACATTCAAAATGGCCGAGCTTGTCGGCATAAGTGACAGACATGAGTACCAACATAACGCCACAAAATAATCGAAATTCGATTATACGTAACCAGCGAAAATTCAAAATTCGCGACACCTTTTGAACACACCTCGTACATACTTACATTTATTATATATATGAAAAGAAAGCAGTAAAATATTTACCTCAATCTATTTATTTACTTTTATTTTATTTTGATTTTTTGCATTTCTATATGCAGAATATAAACAAAAGACGCAGTCTCGCTTTCAATGTGCAAACGGCTGCAAACCAACATGGACAAATGCGTGGAAAACCTGCTATAGATATCTACAGACCACCGAGTAAGTAGATAATAAATAAATTAATTAATTATTTAATTAAGTTGAAAAGCTTATACTAATTTAATTAAAACAGATTTTTATGAAACTTTTTTGAAACAAAATATGCGCCAAAAATTAAAATTAAAATATCAATAAATAAAAAATACCAGCTAGAATGTGCGTCCTCAAAAAGATAATTGCGTAGTGGACAAATAAGAACTCGGTTTAAAAATGTCGATGTTTCGATATTGACAGGCCGCAACGTGTTGGGCAGAAAGCATAGACAGGTGGGTATGAGCGGAACATTGTTTTAGTCCCGCCCAGTTCTAGATTGGAACTTCACTGTTTAGAGGTCTAGACGAAGTTTCAAAACTGCATAACAAGGTTTTATTAAACTTCCGAAAAGCTCAAGTTTCTGCATAATATTTTGCTGGACGGAAATGATGAGCGAGTTGCTGTGTTTTGTTCGCCAGTAGAGTACTTAATTTTTCAATTTCCCTTTCAGTCCAAAGTAACGTCAGTTGACAAGAGTGGTTCTGTGTGGGATTTTAAAGCTCACATTGTTGTTTGTATTAATACCGCTTCTAAGATAGATGAAATTTTGTACGACTTCAAGGTTATTACTTTCAACAGTGACGTGGAAGCCAAGTCGCGAATGCGATGACTGTGTATTTGATGACAGAAGATTTTTCGCCTTACTCTCGTTCACAACCGGAACCATAAGCTTCACTTCCTTATCCAATCTGAAGAAAGCAGAACTCACGGTGCGGTTGTTTATGCTAATGATGTCAATATCATCGGCGTTCATCAGCATCTGTACACGACTTCTTGTTCAATCCGAGTACGATGTTAATGGCTCTTAAAAAGCACTCTCAATAATCTCACTTATCACAGCAGAGAACCAGACAGATCATCTTAATGGAGCTTTGGTGTACAAAGTTCTTTTTAGTTCAGATGATTTGTTTCCACACAAGCTCGTCCGTAGCGCTGTTTTCCAGTATATCTCTAAGCTCGGCTACCCAGCGGAAAAATGTAGCACGAACGTCTATACTTCTATCCATATTTTATTGCCACACATTGTAAAGATCTTATGGCAACTTGACTATTGGAGTATATTGTATTAGAGTGTTCGTTTACTTGAACAGTTATTGCTTTTCTGTTGTTGTAGCGGATATCAAACTTCACTTAGGTCCAAGAAACAGACTCTTTAGATAGGTTCGAACCAAAACGGGCAGGACGTTGGATGGGTTAGTTTGAGAGCGCATGCAAAGACCAAACCATAATTTTGCCAGTTTTATTCGACTTTTTATGGCAGCATAAGCTTGTGGTCGATTCTGCGCACCACTGTTGACCCGGTCTTTATTTAGCCGCTCTTTCGACGAGGCAACAGGAAAACTTTAATTTAATCAGTCAATCGACGTGGGTACAGCAAATGCTACTTGGAAACGATGCTACGGTCCGATAGTTTCATCTTTAAACAGAGTTCAATAAGAAGTAGTGAACCCCTCAACCAATCATCGTAATGATTTTGGAACTGTCGGTAAAAATGAATCTAAAACAATTAAATTTCCAATTCCTTCAACTGAGGGATTGGAAAAGAGATTATTAAAATAGATTTCGGTTTAGTTTCGATGGTATCTTCTCTCGTTAGCACAGCTATCGGGTAACCAGATGGAAGTACTTCCATTTTTGTATGGAAAAGTTTTATTAGAAAGATATTTGGCGGCAGCTTGGCTCTCGCAAGCTGGGCCGCTGCAGATTTGTCTGATGCATTTTTATACCTCTATAGGTAGATATATCACAAAGAAGGTAAATAGACTGTATAATCAACGTGATTCTACATTGTATTGTCATTTTTGAACAACATTGCAACTTGCTTGAGGCCTTTTTAGAGGTATCGTGGTTTAAACTTTTAGCGAGTTTCCAGTGGCTTTATTGCAGTTGATGGAGGAGCTTCCATTATGAGGTCGGCTACGAACCGCTGTGCTCTGTATAGTTTGATCCTTAAAATGAATTTGACTAGTAGTGGGCACCAAACGGTGACGTTGTAGTAAAAATTAGGTCTACCGCTGTACGAGTACATATATGTATGTATATCTATCTATCTAGCTGCTTTAGGATCTCATCGTTTTCTATCCGCCTCCTGCCTTGTTTCGGCTACAGATAATTTTTCTTTTTGAGATTATGCCGAGATATTGGATGAGTGCATAAGTTCGTACCCGATTCCGCTGGATGCCGTTCGAATCGTTTGAGAGTGGCGCTCGTGAAAGAAATATATACATATTATATATCGTTGGAAAGGTGACAGTCCGAACTGTAAATCAAGCATAAAATAACTTCATTTTGATTTGAGTTGCTTAGTGAAAAGACGCATGGAAGATGGACAACGAAAAAGATCATATGCGTCATATTATGTTATACGAATTCCGCAAAGGAAAAACAGTAGGCGCTGCAACTAAAGATATTCGCGAAGTTTATTTGGACCGTGCTCCAGCACTCCGCACAGTAAAGAAATGGTTCGCGAAATTTCGTTCTGGAGATTTTAACCTCGAAGATCAACCTCGCAGTGGACGGCCTTCTGAGCTTGATGACGATGTTCTAAGGACTTTAGTTGCGAATAACTCACGTATTTCGACGGAAGAGGTTGCCAGTGAATTGAACGTCAACAAATCAACTGCGTTTCGTCGTTTAAAAAAGGTTGGGTACACTTTGAAGCTCGATACATGGGTGCCACATCAGTTGAGTGAAAAAAACAAAGTGGACCGTATGTCAACAGCAATTTCTTTGCTTCGACGGATCAAAAACGAACCTTTTTTGGATCGGCTCGTGACTGGTGATGAAAAATGGATCCTGTACAACAATGTTCAAAGCAAAAGAACATGGAAACAGGCACATGAAGGGGCGGAACCGATGTCGAAAGGTGGATTGCATCCGATGAAGGTACTGCTGTACATTTGGTGGGATATCCGAGACGTGATCTATTTTGAGCTCTTGCCAGCTGGAGAAACGATCACTGCCAACAAGTATTGTCAGCAATTGGTCGAATTGAAGAAAGCAATTGATGAAAACGTCCGATTTTGGCCAATCGCAAAGGAGTTCTTTTCCATCATGACAACGCCAGGCCACACTGAAGGAGATGAATTGGGAAATCATGCCGCATCCCCCATATTCACCCGACATTGCACCTTCTGATTATCATTTGTTTCGATTGCTGCAGAACAATTTGAATGTAAAAAAATTTAAAAGTGTGGAAGACGTCAAAAACCACCTTCACACCTTTTTCAACGAGAAACCGCGCGATTTCTATGAATCAGGCATCCGTAAATTGTTTGAACGTTGGGAGTGGATTGCCGAACATGATGGTGAATACATAATTGATTAATAAAAGCGCTTTCTTCAAAAAATTTCAATATCAGTTTGCGCTTGAAATCGGGCACGAACTTATGCACTCATCATATTTTACCTTTATTTTGGGTGGGGTGGTTAAAACAAAAGCGCTGGTTCGAAAATTTTTTGTTATATATTAATAAAATTTAAATATATATATATAATTCAATGCCAAAAAATTTTAATATTACATAACATCTACTAAATTCAGTTCGTTTTCCTATAATGCCATATATTTCCGATTTAAAATCGATGCTTATCTTACGATGCCAAAACTTTAAACGCTAACATCGCCTTCCCATTGGCTCCAAATGCTTCAGCCGTTACGTTGCATGATCACGAATTTTTGAAATTTTTCCAAATTTTCAAATAATCTTAACTGATTTTTTTTTTCCCTTTCTGTGTTTTTTTAAAAAATTTCATTCTCTCTCTCTCTCGAAAATCTATTATTTTTGTATACCATCCGCGGTCATTATTCCATCCGTCCACACTATGTTCGCAACGCATTTGTGGATTACCTACCTTTTGCATGAACATTCCATCAACGCACCAACAGATGTTCGCAATGACAACAACCATTCAACGGTTATTTCGAACCGTTTAAACATTAATGCACAGGAATTCACAATGGACAATTCAAATACAACGAACACAACACCTCCACGTGGCGATACACTTAGGGCCGGAGATAGTCGGTAAATGTTGCCAGCCACAAGGCTTTGCTAATAGAATTTTGCTTTCGATTTTTCATTTACAGAACTTAACTTCAACCTACAACATTCTTCTAGTTCGTCAGCGGTTATATACCCAGCAACATCTTCGCCTCAAGGCTTGATACCACAGTCGAAATCATCGGTGGCATTGCATCAGCAAATGCAATATATGGCTGCGACAAATGCAATGGCTAATCGGAGACAAGCGGGTCTCTCACTCGGCAGTATGCCTTTGACAAATAATCCGATGGGCAATAACAAAATGCAACATGTTGGTACTCATCGACCCATTTTGGTGACACACTCCCATCCAATGGCAATGAATCGTTTCTCTGGTGGTGTCTCGCAGCAAATTCCACTGATTAATTCACCGTCCAGCGGCAATATATTGCACGTAAGTAGTATTTCATATTAAGTTTTAATGTTAATTTTTGGTTGTGCAATCTGTATTACGTATATCGGTCTATAACTTAATTGGTGCTGTTAACGTTAACATCCATCTTACCAATATATTGAATATGCGTTGGAGAGCTACTTGCGTCTTTTCCAGTATATGCATTTGAATTGTGTTAACTCAAATTATCGGTCGACTTTTTTGCTTCAAAAAGTATTTTTCGGTGAGTTCTTCTACTGTCTTATCTTAATATGTAGAAACACTCTGCCGAATGAAGATTGTTGCCAAGTACAAGAAGAGCTCGTCATGTCAAATGAATTGAAGTATGATGTTACATGTCAGATATGCTCCTTGAATGCTACAAAATGCAGTTGTTTTTGCATCGGATTGTAACGTTAAAAGTCATAGGCGAAGACTGGGTAACCAGCCAAATCAACGTCAATGCCAATCCTCTATGACGTCATGGTAATGTTCTGTATTTGATGTGATCAGAAAAGAGTACTGTATTATGAGCTCCTAAAACCTGGTAAGATCTATTTTTGAAAACACCGGCTGTGGGTTTTGCAAAACCCAGACCTTATGTCTTTTGACCAACATTTGTTCTGGTCGATGTCGAACGCCATCACTGGAATACGGTTCACATCAAAACAGGCTGGATTCATTCTTGACCGCAAAGTTGGCGCAGTTCGTTTGGAATGTAAACCAAAAATCGCCAGGAACATGACAAAATGTTATAGTTTCAATACTTTCAATAATGACGTATACGAATAAAGTTATAGATAAATGAATTATGTGTCTAATCCACTCAGTGGATTAAGAAAGTTGTTATTAAATACATACATACATTTTGGGTAATTAAAGTTAGGCTCCGTAAAATTAAATAGTAGAGTCCGAATAATCACTATGAAATTAATCTTTTTGATTTATTAACGTTTTTTTATTGATTTATTAATTCATTAATCCGGCTTCTCGTTCAATTAATCTTTGAATTCCTTCAGCAAACAGCTAATACTAATCGCGTAAAGTTCGCTAATGAGCCGCACAAGCATCATGGTCATAAAAACGGACACAACCATCTTAGTCACGATTATCAACAGCAACAACAACAATTGAATGCCATGTCTCAATATGCCGCAGCAAATGGCATTAGCACAGATGCATACATAAATATTAGTCCCTTGCAACGTTCGAAATCCTTATCATCGGCGGACGCATTGACTCGTGGCATTGCTGGCCTTGGTTTAGCGCTAGGCAATGAAGTAACAGACATTGGTCAATTCAATCCTGATATACAAGTACTTATCGATACAGCTCTTGAAGATCCAAATAAGTTGAATTCACGTGCTCTTATGGAGTTGACATCACACTTTATTAAACGCGCCGTTGAGGGCCGTCGTTATGCATTGCCCATCTCTCGTCTCTGCCTTAATATTATAGCCAAGGAACAGAAGGAGACTTTCTTGGAAGCATTGTTGAATACATGCCGGCAGTGGTATCAGGAGCGAGAAAAGGTAAACACGGTTGCATGCTTATATTATATATTATAAATCTTATATAATCGTTTAACCAATTTTCTTCTTCTAGTTGTTGTACTCCATACAAGGTATGAAGTCCCCTTCACGTCTGCGGTTTACCGCATTTATGGCTTTCCTTACCGAAATGTTCTGTCAACTCAAGCGACGTCAATTACAATTGCGTACTCAATGCGAGGGCGCACCACCGCCACTCGTACTATTAACACTGCTCTCGAAATGTTGCGAAGACTGCGTTAAACCTCCTGTGCGTTCGCTATCCGAGGTGAGTTTTTGAAACTATATGCTATAAGTAAGGTAACACTTAGATCCAACATAGACTTACGGATATGAAATCCGCCGGCAGATTCTGAGGCTGAAGTCAAGTTTTTTACCGAAAGCGGTGAAGGCCTCTTAATATCTTTGATTAATATGATCTTTTCACCTCAGTTTCCAGCCCAGAACGATTCGTTAAAACTTCGCTTTATCATACATAGAGTCCACATCGATTGGACTACAATGATACTTTGTAAAGCATATAAATGGCTCTTTGTAACCGCTGAAGCGGCCAATCTCCACCTCCAATTTGTCGTTTTTTGCGTCATGATGTTTTTCCAACAAATGGAGGGAGCTACAGTTTATACTAAGCCGCCTCCTAAAGGCTAATGGTTTCTTTATGAGTAACTTATGTTTTTCATGTTAGAAATACATTCGGAGGGGTTGACACTCCCTGTCGAGGGGCGACTGCAATTAGAAAATTTAACCTTGCCTTCCGAATGGCATTACGCAATGCTAACCACTCGGCTACCGCGGCCGCCAGCAAAGTATATTCTGCATTAAATCACATCAAGTTTGTGATAACGGTTCAAGTAATAAGTGAGTTCGACGTGAGGCATGTCTGCATAACAAAAAATACCCAACGCTCGCGACCACTGTTTCTGGTTCGTCATTCAGCAGACGCCAAAGTCAATCTATTGTGAGAGAGGGTTACTTACGACACTTTTTAATTGCAAAAGATGACACACTTATAGTCTTAGATCTCTTGGACTACTATGAGTAGCCTTTCCAGTCTTAGGTATTAATGCCACTGACAGCTCCATCTGTCCCAGACGGTTTATAGAGGCTGACTATTCATTTAATCCTTAACAACTTTATGTTATTACTACAGGGGCTATTCTAAGTTCTTTCTAGCTAAGCCAAAACTAGGTTCCACTTATATAAATTTATCATATGTTCTCTGTGGTATCACGTTTACTAATGTTCCTGCAACTAGAGTGTCGATCTCCAATGCTCGAAAATGGCACACTTTAATACTCAATGACTTATAAGAAGAAGTAAGAGCAAGGTGCTTTACTCCTACAATATGGCATAGGTTGGGTTTTAAGCCTAACTGAAGATATACCAATCGGTCAGTGACACTGGCCAAAATTCCTAATAGAAGCGACAGCTATGACTCGGTGTGTTACAACATTTTTCAACTTTTCACGATTCACCTGAAAATGGAAGAATTTTTCTACCACGTCCGCCGTTGTATTTGGCTAGCCCTCGTCAAGCTGAAGCGAGATCTCCCGCTACTTTAATTGCTTGAAAATCCTGCACTAGTATAAAAATCAGTTTTATAAAACTTAATGCGTCGTCTTTTTAGTTATTAGTATTGCAATGGCTTAACGTGCGGAGGGGTACTTTTAAGATTAGTTAGTAAATTGGTTAGTTAAGATCAAGCAACTCTGAATAAACTCACTTAGGCCTACTGGACCGCTGTGATACCTGTACTGGTCTCGCGAAGATGCTCAAACCACCACTTGGTGTGTTTTATGAAATTGAGGCGATTAGTTATGCCTACAGATGAGAGCTCTACAAGGCAATCAAAGAAGAGATTTCCGCGGAAAAGATAACATACCGCACTGGGGCTGGGCAAAGGCAGACGATTTCTACGCATCTATAACCCCGCAGGTACTGCAAAAGCCGGTTGAGATGCAGTCTATCCTTTTACAAGCAGTTCTCTTAAAACAGTGTCTGATTATTAGACCGGTTTTATGCTTATGAAGGTCCTGTTTAGTAAACATAAACACTTAGCTCTGTTCACTTCCATCAATGGCCAGATTTATCTGGTCACATTGCACATGGTTTCACTCTGTCATCTGCTGTTGGCTTTTCTAGTTAAGGCTAGCAGATACTTTGCCGAGAAAATAAGTATGCACACGTCATGTGGAACTCAACCCTAGACGTTTCGCATGCAGTTGAGAGTTTTTTTAGGATTTCTTTGCTTTTTATCGCCATCTTGGATAGACTTAATGGCAGCCTGGCTGTCAAAATATGTTGTAAATGGTTGGGTTATCAATATGATATCGCGGTTAGTTCCACTTGAAAGATGCTACAGTGGACGGGAGGTTTCTTACTTAAGTTGGTAGCAAGAAATACTGGGTAAACTCCACAACTCACTTTGCCGTCGTTGAAGATATCCTTCGGAGCACTCTAGAATATAGATTCCCATTAGAATGTCTATAGCTTCTGTTTATAGTTTGATACATAAGAGGCCTTGGATATTACCTTCAGTCTATTTAGTCTATTTCCTTTTGAGTTCCATGTCAGGACAGAAGGATTTACAAGCTTCTCTTTGTATTTTCTCAATAATTTTCTTAAATTTTTGAAGCAATCATGGTTTGACCGCCAAGACCCGGTCTTTTTGGCTTCATTAAAGAGTTTTCAGTTTTTTCCGAGGCTCAGATACTTCATCGCTCAGGGCTTCATCGATTTTTGACGGTAAGTCTAGCTCACCGAGAGGTACAGACTTTGTGCAAGAGATGCCCGCCACTCTCCAAAGACTCTACGAAATTATAGGACTTGTATAGATAAAAATAAGAAAATGTAAAATATTTTTTTTATTTTTTTTTTTCAGATCGAATGCCTTTTCTATGTCCTCACCTGCATTGGGCAAGATATGGAGGTGCAGCTGCCACAGCAATTGGAATTACTCTTATCGCTGGTGCGTGATGCTTTCTTGAACGCAAGTGACGCCGCACCCGCCATTCGTCGCACTCTATTGCAATTAATCGAACTGCAAGCGTCACACTGGCAATTGCCCGGAAACACTGTCTTATACTACTATCCATCGGCAAAGTAGTGAAAAGACTACGTCTACTCAACAGATAAATGGACTCAATTAATATGAACTCTCTTGAAACTGAGCACTTGACGCTCCACTCAATCATTTCAATTTCTGTTCTGTTTTCTAGCTGAAGCTTTGCGAAAAAAAAACAAACTAAATAAGATTTGTTTGTGTGTGCAGTTGTGTTTTTTAATTATATTTAATTTATTTTAGTCAAATAAGCGAAGAAAAATTTTTTTTTGTGAAAGCATTTACTCAAAATAATGCAAATTGTATTAAAGTAAGTTCATAAATTGCTTGCTTAGATGTAGAAAAGCCAACATTAGTATGGATTAAGGCTAAAACAATGAACACACACACATAGACACACACACACACACACACTAACCATTAATGGCAAACGTACTAACACTAAAAATACGGAAAAAAAAAACATGACAACAGCAAAATACATACATATATATTACACATACTTGTATGTATGTATATGGAATATACTGTTAAAATTTTGCAAATTTCAGTTTTTAAATTTAAATTTCAATATATATATACATACATTATTTACAAATACGAGGTGTGTTCGAAAAATATCGCGAATTTTGTGTTTTTTCAAAAATTATTTATTTATTCATGAATATCTATTTTGTCCCCTTCAAAGTAATCCTCATGAGATATTATACACTTGCGCCAGCGGTTTTTCCTATCTTCGAAGCACTTCAAAAAATCATTTTTTTATCTTGTTCAGCTCCTCCTCCGATGCCGTCTTTATCTCGTCAATCGTAGTGTAACGTCGTCCTTTCATGGGCCTCTTCAGTTTAGGGAACAAGAAAAAGTTACAGGGTGCCAGATCTGGGGAATACGGTGGCTACGGCATCATTAGCGTGTTGTTTTTGGCCAAAAAGTCGCGCACTAGCAACGATGTGTGAGCAGGGGCGTAATCATGGTGCAAAAGTCAATTTTTGTTCTTCCACCAATACGGGCGTTTCTGGCGGATTGCTTCGCGCAAATTGCGGATAACTTACAGGTAATATTCCTTATTGACCGTTCTACGTGTGGCAATACCATTTTCTCCAGGTTATTAATTTTTTCGTCTGTTGTTGAAGTGCTCGGGCGTCCGGCACGCTCTTCGTCGTTCACATCTTCTCGGCCCTCTGAGAACATTTTGTACCACCGATAAACGTTGCTTCGGTCCAAGGTAGCTGCTCCGTATGCCACAGTCAACATTTGGAATGCATCCGCGCACTTAATTTCGTTTTTCACACAAAACTTGATACAGGTTCTTTGATCCATTTTTTTGAATAGGTAAAAATCTAAGACCATCCAAAACACGTGCAAGCAAAGCAGCTGTCAACAATAAAGTGAACATTCAAAATGGCCGAGCTTGTCGGCATAAGTGACAGACATGAGTATTAACATGACGCCACAAACAAAAATCGAAATTCGATTGTACGTAACCCGCGAAAATTCAAAATTCGCGATACTTTTTGAACACACCTCGTAACTATTACAACTGTTATTTCCTAAGTGTTTTGTCTGTGCGGCTTTATACAATATAAAGCTTGCTATTTTTTGCATACGCGTACATAGATTTTTTTTTAGGAAGAAGAGAATGAAGAGAAGCTCAAATTATTTATAAATAATAGCACTGCAAACTCGTATACAAGTATATGAAGTTTAGTATTTACACACATGCATACATATGTATTTCTTAAGCAAATGCACGTAAAAATGTTTAAATATTTAAAAAGAAAAATGAAATAAAAATACTAGTCAGAGAACAAGAAACACAAAAAGTTGTTTTTTAACATTAAATTTGTTCTTGAAGTTGAAAAGCTTCAACACAACAGACTACCGAGCGGCTTTCTATTGGATGAGTGCATAAGTTCATGCCCGATTCCGCTGGATGCCGTTCGAATCGTTTGAGAGTGGCGCTCGTGAAAGAAATATATACATATTATATATTGTTGGAAAGATGACAGTCCGAACTGTAAGTCAAGCATAAAATAACTTCATTTTGATTTGAGTTGCNCTATGAATCAGGCATCCATAAATTGGTTGAACGTTGGGAGTGGATTGCCGAACATGATGGCGAATACATAGTTGATTAATAAAAGCGCTTTCTTCAAAAAATTTCAATTTTAGTTTGCACTTGAAATCGGGCACGAACTTATGCACTCATCAATACTTGACTTGCACACCTGCTCTCTGAGAGCACTCATCAGTAGCTCGGTATACGGGAACTGTGGGACGGCATTTCAAGCTCTCTACGTATAGTTGCAAACGAAACTATTGGATTTCGTAAACAGCTGATACGATGAGGACAGCCGTGTTAGAGTTGAGATAAAGCAGGCTGTCAATCTCGCAATTTTTCGATCGACCAAAGCACGTGCGGGATGGGATAGATGCCGAGAATTGAGGAGGGAAGTAACACGAAACTGCAGAAAAAAAAGATGTGTTAGTATGATGAGTTTGAAAAGCTGGCTGACAAGAGTATTGCTCGAAAATTCTATGAAAAGAGACGACGGCTTACAGAAGGTTTCAGGACCGGAGCAGACTCCTGTGGCACCCAGAGAGATGAGCTAGTAGCGGATGCTCAGAGTATACTGAACTTATAGAAATGAAACACTCGGAGATGGTGAACTCGTAACTTCAATTGATAACGATGAAAAAGTTGTTCCACTAACCGGTTATGCCGAGGTTCGATTGCCCGCTTAAAGAACAACAAGGTACATGCATCAGCTACGTTGCAAAATATGATCGGACAAAAGAGTTGCTGACGATTGGAATTTAAGTGCGCTCTGCCCAATTCATAGAAAAGAGGACCCCACAGTCTGCGCCAACTACCGTGGGATAAGCCTTCTTAATATCGTACTTACGACCCCCTTCGAGCATATGTGTGAAAGACTGAAGCCCATCGTCAAAAAACTGATTGGACCTTATCAGTGTGGTTTTAAATATAAATCTTGGAAAATCCGTGAAAAGAGGTGTGGTGTATGTCGAACGTCTTTGTCGATTTTAAAGCCAACTTCGACCGCAGGAATAGGAGCTGCATCTACGCCACTATGTCTGAATTTGGTATCCATACAAAACTTATACGGCTATGTATATTGACCTCAAGCAACATCGGGAAGGACCTATGCGAACCGTTTGATACCAAGCGAGGTTTCAGATAAGTTGATTCCTTATCCTTTGACTTTCTTTTACTTATTGCTGGAAAAAATAGTAAGAGCTGCAGAGCTGAATAGAGAAGGTATAATCTTCTATAAGAGTGCACAACTGCTAGCGTCATATCCATAGTGAACGAGGGCAAAACGAAATATCTTTTGTCATCACACAAACAGTCATCCGATTCGCGACTCGGCTCTCACGTCACTGTTGACAGCTTCTTGGCCGTAGATAATTTCGTCTATCTACGGACCAGCATCAACATCAATAATAATATCAATCTTGTAATCCAGCCAAGAATCACTTAGCAAGTGCTACTTTGTACTGAGGTGGCAAGTAAAGTCCCGTCTCGACGAACGAAAACAAAACTCTCTAAGTCGCTTATCGTTCCCGTCCTGCTATTATATATTGTACGGAGGCATGGACGATGACAACATCTGATGACGCAGCCTTTCGAGAGGGGTTTTGCGTAAGATTTGTGGTCCTCTACGAGTAAGAAACGGCGAAGCCGAGGGAATAAGCTGTATAAGATATACGGTGACATTGATACAGTTCAGCGAATCAAGAAACAGGGGCTAGGTCATGTGATCCGGACGGATAAGAATTTTCCAACTTTGAAATATTTCGATGCAGTACCCGCAAGTGGAGGAGGGTGAAGACCTCCATTCCATTGAAAAGACCAGGTTGAGAAGGTCCCGGCTGAACTTGAAATCTTCAATTGGCGCCAAACAGCAAAAAAAAAGAAATGGTTGGCGCATTGTTATAAATTCGGCTGCAATCGTGTAACTGGTGTCTACGCCAGTAAAGAAGAAGAAGAAGAAGAGGAAGAAGAATAAGAAGAAGAATACCGGTGGTGTAATGGAGTGTAGTGCAATTACAGTGGGGGGCTATACTCAATTTCTACTCTTGTGCCCGCGTCGCGCATTCTGGAAACGTGAACAGCCCTTGTGCGAGATGTGGTAGACGACCCGTGCCCGGAGCCACATCTACGCGCCGTAGTTGATCCGGATTTTATCCGCCCATTACTCCATCTCGGTGCAACTGGAGGCATCTTCTCGTCTGCTTAGACCTTAAGAGACACGAAGGGAGTGGTAAGGAATGCGCCAATATGGAATTTTTGAAAATAAAGCTTAAGTAAACATGAAAATAAAATCAAATTATGTTGTGTTACTACGAAAACAGAATTCTCCTTAGTAGAAAATATTATTTTTGGGTGTTAGAATTCTCAGAATACTTTGCGAACTTATTTTCCCACCCACAACATTCTTTCAAGACTACTTCCTATCTTCAGATATTATTAATATCAATATGTGAATCGGGAGACCGGGAGGTTTTAGTGCATTCAGGTACTCCACCGGAGACTTGCTCATTTTTTGGTGTTAAGATGGCACGTTCGCATATTCATTCTGCAGACTTATGGGGAATATTATTTGTGCTTCAGTAAATTGTATCTATATGCTCTTCCACAGCCAAAAGAATTATACATAATGCTGTTAGAAAAAATTTGATTGTTCTACAGTTCCGAGAAATCACCATTTCCTATTCTCAGCAAGAGGTCTGCGGGCTGTCCAGCGGTAAAGCACCTCTTAAATGGACTCTTATATTTTTTATGAGTCTGGGCTCACTGAAGGTCATAAGTTAGATCGCTTTAATTTCGTCCACTCGCGCTCACCCTTTCGGAAATGGCCTGTTAAAACAAAATGTAATTACTCTATAAGCGTGGTAGCTATACCGGACGGTGGGACCGTTAAGGCTACTAACTTTAAGCAACAATAAGTTTAATAGAAAACTATTGCCTGTTCCACCAGGTGCATCTAAAAAATATATATCCAAACTCTGTTTCGAGGCTTGAAGGTATTTTACAACAAATATATCTTTGTTCATTTGTTATTGAGCCTTGAGTACTTGACATCACATCTGTTAAAGAATTGTTATCATATTGTTATCTGTACCAATTTTTTTATAAATTAAACGATCGATTCCGTATCCACTTTCTGGGAGGATAACTATTTGTTCATGGAAAGATTTACCTATGTACTAAATTTCATATAAATCAAACGATTTAAAAATAAATTATATTTATTCAAATAGGTCGGTTCTTGGAGCACTTCCAGAAAAATCTTTTCATATCAAGGACATTCGGCTCACGCAGAATACGCCCACCAAGTGTTTCAGGTCTCGGTACGATCAGTGACTTAAACTGTGAGTTCATCCGTCAGTTATTCAGAACAAAGCTTTTCGTATGTGAATATAATATGTATGTAGGTTATCGAATTTAGTATGCCTATAAAAATTTTATCTCGAACCGGTGTGAACTAGTCTCATCAGCCAGAAAATTTGATGTACATATGTATACATATATGTAGCACATCTCTATTTGTTGAAAATAATATGTTAGCAGCAGGCCGAAAGCATATAAAATCCGATGAAAGATATTTCAATTTGCCCTCCAGAGGTACATATTAGGTGTAGTAAAAAGAAATCCATTAATTTAAATTGAATGATTTAATTTTTTCTTTTCGTATCCAGCCTTATTCAAATGGTTCCAAACGGTTTTTTTTTTTGCATTCTTTAGCTCCTGGGGCAATCGAAACAGTGCTTACCTGACCGTCAGACTCGACAGTGTTCATGATTTTATCAATATATTCGACAAATGGCAGTCCACATCAAAATTACCGAAATGAAACCGAAATTATGCACAATTGACTGTAACAGACCAATAAGCCTACTACCTAGTCTTTCCAAATAACTTGGAAAAATTCTGCTATCAAAAATATCTCCTTTTCTCCACCGTAACAATGTGATACCAGATCACCAATTCGGCTTTCGTGAAAAGCATAGTACTATCGAACAAGTTAACTGAATAACTAATAAAATCAGAAAGGCATTCAAGCTCAAGGAGTACTGTTGTGCAATCTTTCTTGACGTAGCACAAGCGTTCGACAAAGTCTGGCATAAAGGTTTAATGTACAAAATACATAAAGCTCTGTCTGTTCAATTTCATATGATACTTAAGTCATATCTAACTAATAGACAATTTACCATTAAACAATCTGAATTTATCAGTGAGGAGTATCTGGTAAAAGCTGGTGTTCTGCAGAGTAGCCTCCTCGGGCCTTTTTCATATATCATATACACGGCAGACATCCCATTAAACCGAAAAGTGCAGACATCTGCCTTTGCGGATGACACAGCTATTTTATGCCGGGATAAATGCCCTAAATGAGCAGCTAAAACGATTAGTGAACATTTACTCCTCAGCGAAGAATGGCTAGAAAACTGGAGAATTAAAGTTAATGAAGAAAAATGTAAACACGTTACATTTACTTAAAGACCTCAATAATGTCCAGCATTTCGCTTAAATGGTATAAACATTCCCCAATTAAATGATGTTACATATCTCGGTATACACTTAGATAGACGTCTCACTTGGAAGAGACACATAGAGGCAAAAATACTACACATGAAATTAAAAGCAGCTCGTTTAAATTGGCTTTTAAATAAAAACTCCGGTCTAAAACTAGACTACAAAGTCCTTATTTACAACGTAGTATTAAAACCAATTTGGATGTATGGTATTCAACTGTGGGGTACGACCTGTGCAACTAATATCGATAAAATACATAGGTTCCAGCTTAAAATTTTAAGAGCACTAACGGGCGCACCATGGTACGTTCGTTAAGCCGAAAATTGAAAGAAGCAGGACGAAGTACTTCACAGAGCCAAGAAATCATCCAAATCCGGTTGCTAATGCTTTATGCAACCCATCGAGAAATTCCCGCCTGCAACGAAGAGATGTTCCCGCCTTCTAAAGAGAGCGCCGTAGTTTGAAAAGGGCTCAGAGTTAAATAACTCGAGCTATCATGTTTGTAATTTAGTTTTTAAGATTTTTACACTTACTGTTAGGCTTATATTATAGCAGATTCAGTAAATAAATGAATTCTGTATAAAAAAAGCATGATCCAACAGCAACAAGGTATTGAAGAAAAACCAGGACTAAAGCCGGTCGATAATCAACAATGTCGTGTCTGATTGGGTTCTTGAAACGCATCAAAAAGATCCGGTAGTTCATTGAAAAATCATCTAGACTGATGAGCGCCATTTCCACCGCAATGGGCTACGTACATAAGCAGAACCATCACATCTGGGCTCGGGAAACCCAAGTTTTATTGTTGCAAAGCCTCTTCATTCTCAACGTGTTGCTGTTTGGTGCGGTTTATTGGACCTTAATTTTTCGAAAATGAGGCTGAAGCAACAGTTATGGTGAATGGATTGCGCTATTAAATGATGATTAATGATATTTTATGACCGGAATTGGATGATTGATTGATCGAGAAAAGATTTACTCTCAACAAGCATCGAGACCATCGATTTTTAAGGCAAAATTTTCTTTGAATATTCAAATGAGACCTGTTCATATCAGGTGTACACCTTTGCTTCCGCCGTTTTCCGATAGGTGGCTGTACCGGCTGAGGCTGGTTGAAATTTGAAATACATAGATGATAATGCCTTTAAAGTGAGTGTGGACTGTGCCTAAGGAATTATCATCGCCGTTTCAGTGACAGTTTTTCTTGTTTTCTTATTATTCACGCTCGAAAATGTCCGTTTATGTGCCTAATTCTCGCCATTTGCGGGAAGTTTTACTTTTTTGTTACAATTCGAAAAAAAAAATGCAGCTGAAGCGCATCGAATGCTCTCAGAAACTTTCGGTGATGCTGCTCTGAGTGAAAGAACGTGTCGGCAGTGGTTTCAACGTTTTAAAAATGGTGATTTCGATGTCGAAGACAAACATGGTGGTGGAAGAGAAAAAACCTTCAAAGATGAACAACTAAAAGCACTACGAGCTTTTAAAACCGAGTGAAACCATCACAGGAGTTCGCTACCGAACGCAACTGATGCGCCTTAGTCGCGCGCTAAACGAAAAGCGGCCACAATATCAAGAGCGACATGACAAAGTCATCCTCCAACACGACAATGCTCGGCCTCACGTCGCAAAAATGGTCAAAAAGTACCTGGAAACGCTGAAATGGGAAGTTATGCCCCACTCGCCGTATTCCCCAGATGTCTGACTTCCACCTATTCCGTTCGATGGCACACGGACTGGCAGTTCAACATTTTCAACCCTTCGAAGAATTGGAAAAATGGATTGCTTCATGGATAGCGTCAAAAGAGGACTCCTTTTTTCGAGCCGGCATACGAAAAATGCCGGAAAGACGGGAGAAAATTGTCGCTAGCGAAGGACAATACTTTGAATAATATAGCTGTAAGCACTTTTTTGCAATAAAGCTTTTAATTTTGGAAAAAACGGCGGAAGCAAAGTTGTACACCTGATAGAAGCGCTTCAATTATTTCACTTTATTATTTTTGCTCGGGAATTCGATGCACCAAAATGAAATAAATAAAAAAAATTGTTAAAACCTGGAAGTTATCAAAACTCTCTGAATGTAGAAAATACATAAATACTTTTACAGTTTTATGCACATTCATCTCATTTTCCTTACAAATGCGACAACCGGATATCTAACTATCTATCCTTCACTACTTCGCTCAAAGTTTAGCAAACTATTTTTGACATAATAAAAAAAAAACATAAAAAATTAAAATTGAAACACTTAAAATTAGGCTTTGTGCAATATAGAGCGGACATGTTTACAATTTTTCTTTTTCTTCTATTTTTGTTTGTATTTTTTTTCCAGGAAGGTTATGCCATGAAGCCATGAAAATATACGCAAATGTTCGTGAGTAATTGTAATATTTCTTAATAATATACACAAAATATATAATTTTTTTATAAACATATGAGACGCAATTTATAACACTTTTGCGCTAATTTCGTACCAAACGTGCTTAATGAAAAACCAAAAACTAAAGAGAAAAAAGTAAAATTAATAAAAGAAAATTAAAGAAAATAAAATAAAAGTCATGAAAAAAAAGAAAATTAATAATAAACAAATTGTATGAAAAAAATACTGTAACGCTTTGGGAAGTGTTGGCAGGTGATTGAATAAAGCATAATAAATAGTAAAACTCAGTTGAGGAAGCGTATCGATGAGGATGCAACCAAGCGTTTGGTACCTGGTTGTTGATAGACATGCAATGAAATTGTTTGCTTGTATTGTGAATAATATGTGAACTTATGCATGTCTGAGCGCGTGTCTATATTTGTACAAACTTTAAGGTAACAATACATACATATGTATGTACATATGTATATGCCAATATTATGTAAAGGCTAGAGCTATTGAATATACGATAACACTTTATTATTATGAGTTAACAAGCATTCCAATAAATACATATGTACTTGTATGTACTTATATAAGCTGCTGCACCAGCTAGTATTGTATGAATTCAGTGTATAATATGTGTAAGTAAAAATATTAAAACAGCAAATTATACATATTAATATATACACATATGAAAATTATTTGCCGAGCTTATGCGCAGGCGCATTTACATTATTTGTGTTTAAATGAAAATACAGCGCCACCCCAGAAAATTCAAATATATATATATGTTTGAACACACACGTACATACATACACGTACAAGTATGTATATGTATGCATGTGAGAATGTGTGTATAGACGCGTTTATTTGGCGATTGATCAACAGCTGAAGACGTCTTGCAATTACCTTGCACTTGAGCTTAAACAATAGATATCAACATACACACATATACATACAAACATATATAATAACAAATACATATATGTATAATCTTTTAATAGTTATGCACTTGTGCATTGCATATTGTGCGTGTTTCATGGCTTTAAAGCATACTTGCACTGTATGTATTTATATCCATATATACATACATATATATATAATGTAAGCACTGCCTGGAATTAATTGTTCTACTTTTATGCGGAATCATATTGAAAGTGAAAAATCTTCCGTTGGTTATAAATAACGAAATTATATGCAACACGTCAAGCAGTTTGTATATCGTTGGCACGGCGTCAACAGCTTTAATGTGCATGGTGGATTAAAACAATATATACATATATACATATATAATAATATAGCTATCTTACTAGCACAGTGTAAAAGTTTGAAACACTTACCCGCAAAATATAACCCAACAAGGATAATCAAATGCAGCTGCAAACGTCCATTGTAAGCTATGAACGCTTGTGCAATCACACTATCAAAACGAATAAAAATTTATTTTCTTTTCTCTTCTCCTTGCGCGCACTAGCATTTACCAACACAACGCCGCATACGACCGCTGGTGGTGCTCTTTTTCCTTTGCTACCTCGCTTGCAGTCAAGCCAAAAGGACTACGCGCCGCTTGCAGCGAGATGAGTTGCACGAATACGCCATACATCAGCACAACTATGCTGAAAGGGATGTTGGCGAGCCGAGTGGTAGCGCCGCGGACCTGCAGGCGCAGGAATCGAAAAGCATGGAAATTAAAGTACCGCCACCGAATGCTAGCAGTGGCAAGAATACCGTCACGCCACGTGGCAAACGCGGCGCTAAGAAATTTCGACATATCGTGCATGTAGTGAAACCCGTGCATCAGAAGAAAAAGAAGTTGTACTCTTCGTCGACGAGAAATAATAGTAATCAGTATCGTCAGCAACAAAATCAAGTCGTGGAGGGTGGTAAAAAATCAACATTACACACTTACGAAGAAACACACGAACATGTCATGGAGCCAGCACAAGAAATGTCATTTGCAGCGCAAAAACCTATTTTTGCAGCCACACCGTCTTATACTACGTCATCAGCAAGCGTTGATTCAGTTGCCCAAACAGTGAACGAACCGTTAACACAGGCAACGTCTGATAGTTTTGCTACGCATGCTTTTCTGAAACCACCGGCGGTGCCTTATGATGATGCACAAACGAGTAGTTCAGAACATCATGAGCATATAAATGAAATGCACGAAGAAGAGGAGCATCATCAACATGAGAAAATTAAGGTTAAGCATCACCATCACCATCATCATCACAATCATGTGAAGGAAATTATTAAAAAGGTGCCCGAACCATATCCAGTTGAGAAGATTGTACATGTGCCTGTAGAGAAGATAGTTGAAAAAGTAGTGCACGTTCCCAAGCCGTATCCAGTGGAGAAAATAATTGAGAAAAAAATACCATATCCGGTTGAGAAAATTATTGAGAAAGTTGTTGAAAAGAAGGTACCATATCCGGTAGAGAAGATTGTTGAGAAAATAGTGCATGTGCCGATTGAAAAGGTGGTGCATGTACCGAAACCGTATCCTGTGGAGAAAATTGTTGAGAAGAAAGTACCCTATCCTGTGGAGAAGGTCGTCGAAAAGATTATAGAGAAAAAGGTGCCGTATCCGGTGGAGAAGATTGTAGAGAAAGTTGTGCATGTGCCGAAACCATACCCCGTAGAAAAGATTATCGAGAAAATCGTGGAGAAGAAAGTACATGTGCCTGTTGAGAAAATAGTGGAGAAAATTATACATATTCCCAAGCCATATCCAGTTGAAAAAGTTGTTGAAAAAGTCGTGCATGTACCGAAACCATTTCCAATTATTAAACACGTACCATATCCAGTAGAAGTAAAAGTGCCTGTTCATATAGAAAAGCCGGTGCCATACCCAGTAGAGAAAAAAGTGCCCGTGCCGTATCGTGTGGAAGTGGAAAAGAAGATACCAGTACCTTACAAAGTGGAAGTGGAGAAGAAGGTGCCGATATTCATACACGCACCACACCAACACTACAAATATGAACATCATGAACATGAACATAAAGAGGAAGAGCACGAGCATCATGAGGAGAAAAACGACGATTTCGAGGAGCATAAACATTTTGAACATCATCATGACCTTTCCGGATTTCCGACAAATCAAAATGCAAAATATGCTAAACTCCAACAACAACCTCGTCAAATAGCAAATATCGCTGCTGTGGGTTTACCAAAAGCTCACACCTCCATGGCAGCTGCAGCAATACGTGCTGAGCTACTACACCAACAAGTACACAACTTTGGTTATAAAAATCCTACTAAAGCAACACCTACCGATCCCGTACAATCTTCATCTGAAAATGTACCAAATATTGTACGCTTCACACCAACACCAGTGCATAGCTTTGGCATTAAGAATCCAACGACTGCTGCGACATCTGATCTTGAGCCCTCATCTTCGGAAAACAAGCACACCGTTGTGCATTTTGAGCCAACACCGTTACCATTTCAAATACACGTCGAAGACGGTGAGACATTAGAAGATGGTAATTCAGGTAACTCTAACGATATGCAGACAGAGGCCAGCACTCATAGTTTACGCATGTTGGCGCGCCTACAACCGATCGCGTTGCCACTGCAGGTTTTCCAATTACATTCAATACCATTTCAACAGCCTCTGGGCTTCTCACTACCAGCCATGCATGCGGCAGTACAGAGTAGGGGATCCTGAAACCTCAAGAAACTCAATCGATAATTCGGATAGTAAGACTGAGCAGACTAAACGCGCATTATAGATTTAAGCAATGATTTTAACTCAAACATTTTTTTTTGTTAATTTATTTCAACGAGATAAAAACTTTATATGCATTTCAAAACCAATACTTTTTTATTCCTTGAGATAAATATCCTTAAACCTCCGATTTATCTACCGACAACATTTCTATACCCGACTCTGCAACAGACGTTACTAATGACAAAGAGACTCTGCGCAAACTCGGACAACGTTGCCATTGCATTTATTACATTAGAACACCAGCGTTATATGGAGTCTGTCTGGGTCTAAGAACCAAAGCGATACATTCATCGTCTGCAAGATAACTATCAATTAGAATTGAGGTATAAGTCCAAAGCTTGATATGTATTCATCAGTGGTATAGGTATTTTTATATGACTTTTCACACTGCACCCTTAGCCAATAAAAAAATATCATATCGGTCGATATCTCTCCTTTCCACAAAAGCAAAGACACAGGATCTTAACCCAACAACACAGCAGCACGACTTCCAAAAAGTGCAAAGCACCACATCTGCATTTAATGTCATAAACACCCAGATGATCCATGGCTTCAACCCAAACCTGGCCCTGCACGCGAACTGCCCTAGCAGCATTGCATCTTCAAATACTTTTGACACTGCCAAAGATTCAGTGCTTCTGTCGGACATTGAGGACTCCTGTTGATGCAAAATATTTCACTATTTTGTTTCGGTGAATATTACCGGAGTGACAGTCCTAGACCAGTTAAAAATCCAGGTCTTTTCGGTAAAAGAAACCCCGACTGTCGAGAGAAATATTGGATTTTAGTCGCCTTACATGCAGGGGGCTGATTGTGAACTCCACATTACTGCCGGCGTTGAAGATTTGGACCATGAGTTACCATAAATCATAACCGCCCTCTGGACAGTGACAGGAAATTTCGTGAAGACGCGGCAGCATCACAGCATAGCGACGCTGTACAAGCAATATCTGCTGGGATCGTACCATGTGACTTCAAACGACATTCGCCGAGAGTCTTTCAACTCTTTCGTGTGCTCTCTTTCAGCAGACGGTATTATCGTAGTCAAGTCACCACCATCCATTGCAGATGCTGGGATGGTATCATGTGACTTCAAACGACATTCACCGAGAGTCTTCCAACTCTTTCGTGTGCTCTCTTTCAGCAGACGGTATTATCGTAGTCAAGTCACCACCATCCATTGCAGATTAAGACCCCGAGAGTCCCGAGTAATAATGTCATAATAAAGATCTGGATGTTGTAGTTGATTAAATTCCTACTTATCCAGACTGGACCCCGACATTTAAAACAATGTCCTGCATGAAATGAGAAACCGTACGACACTAACCACTAACAGCACGTCTTCTGGACCTCCTGTTGGATGATCTCGATAACTTAGACTGAGCTTGGCTACTCCTAAGCGGGGTTACGAATATCCGCTACAAATAAAAAACTGTCGTTTAAGTTAGCTAAACACATTTTGGACACTCGAATGTGGTTTGTGCTACACCTTTTTACTGAGCAGTACAAAATGATTCATTTCAGCGTTAGTTACTGGTACAGAAATCATTTCAGTAAAGTAAAAAAGAGTCAATTTATTGCTTAGACGTTCTCAAAAACATTGCAGGGCAGTTGTAGGCCTAATAAAATGGCATCGTGTGAAATGTAAGTAGGGTTGGCATGCGGTTTGATGTTTTCTAACAAGTAGAGGTCCCTTTTGTTTTTTTTAGGCCGCCGCCGACCGACCGATAGATTTGTATGAGGAGCTTTTATTTTATGTCGGAAATACACTCGGAGCACTCGACATTCCCTGTCAAGCAGCGACCGCAATTAAAAAAGTTAATTTCCTATAATTTTAGATGTTGATCGAACCCTTCAAAAGGGCAGCACACAGTTCCAACCATTCGGCTATTGCGGCCGCCAACCCTTGGCCGCATCAAATCCGGCTTAAGTACGACAGTTTTTTTTTTATGGCGGCTAACTAGGATCATTGTTAGTAGCTGAACCTCCAACTAGACACATTAGGAAGTACTTGGCTTTAAAGACTCCATATAAACGCTGGTCATTCCTTGGCATATCTACTAAAATCAACACCCTCCCTGCAAGAACGGGCGGATGGCTTCGCCAATACACTCACACGATTTCGGGCAGCACTAACACATAAGCAAATTTTTTTGTTTATCTTTCTCTTCTGAGTACATACTAATTGAAGAAGAATGCAGTTCAACGGTTTATGCGATTTTCTTTGTTCTTATTTTCGAGTAGAACGCCATTTTTTATCGTTTTCTTCGCATCAGATAAAAGTGAAAAATATATGATCGGGATCTTGTACAGGCACTGGTAATAATATATTGTCCATTAATTAACTATGTACTTAATTTTTCATTGCTTTTTCATATTTGTTTATATAAGGGCACTGCATATTCTCGTGAGGCGCCCGGAACATCAGTGAAGCGTCGCTCTCAACAATTGGACATTTCCGAGACGTCCCTTAGGCGAATTGAAGCCACGAGACGTAAAAAGTTACGTGGCTTGTTTTGCTTACAATATTTTCTCTGTCTCTCCCTCTGGACCGAATACGTCGAAACAACCCGTTTCCTAGACCTACCGTTAAATGACCCCTCGGACTTAGTACTAGTTAATAACAATCAGGGATGTTACAGAAACAGATTGTTGTCGGAATTAGAATTGAAACCGACAAAATTCTGTTAAAGGGCTTACGATGACGATTATTGATTTGCATGGCTCGATTTAAGGTGCTACAGAAACCGATTTATCGGTTTAAATGCCAGAATTAAGCCGATCAGGTATTCGTTGACAGAATTGTGTGCAAATTTCTTTGCAAGCCATGGACAATTGATTTTACAACCAGCAATATCTGGAATAAAAAATGGTCACGTGCTCTCCGTTTTCCATTGTCGTTCATTCCTAAAATTATCCAGCGTGGACAATTCAAACGTTCAAAAGACCTTAGCATTTCTGTTATAACCACCGAGATACAGTCTAGCGCTAAGGAGATATTTGAGTCCCACAGACCGTTAATAGGAGCGTTCTGCCAAAACCGCACATGAGCACATGTAAGATAGACATCATCAAAAATTCTAAGAAATTTTAAAGCTAAAGGAGAAACCGATGTTATGCCTCCTAAATATTGTTCCAGTTGAAACACCTATGTATCCATCTCTGATGATTTTACATATTCAAAAAACCAAGCTAATTTAAATCGAATGAAACCATTAAATAAAATAAAAGCTATAAATATTCATTTAGTAAAATTACACGTTATATTTTAAAATAGCATAAATTATAGATTTTAAAATCTATCTTAAATTATCAAAATAAAACACTAACAATCTTCGAGGTATTTAGTTTCATATAACTTGTTCTTGTTTTAGCACACCCGCCTCTTCAAGTAATTGGTGAAATCCTTCTGGTATGTTACCTTCACTGAGTTCAGCGCCCCATTTTTTGTACTGCAAAAGATATTTACACAGTTGAGTAAATTTGTTTAATAAATTAAATTGTTAATTTCTTCTATTGACCTACTCGTTCCAGTTCTTCTCGTAAAGCTAATACAGCTTTTTCTCGATCTGCGACTAATTCTTCCAAATACTGGTAACGCAATTTTTTTCTTGCGCGACATTCCCGTGCACTTTGGCGGCTCCTCTCTGAAAGGCATTAATATACATAAGTATACATATGTATACGGAAATTCTTATTAGACTATACAAACCTAATTTAGCGCGTATATCAACTTTTTCCGTTGAAGCTTTGCGCCCAGGTTTTCGCCCTCTTTTGCCAGTTTCTTTGCGTTCCTAAATAAAAGTAGAAAACTTGAGTGGTAATCAGAATTGCACTGTAGATGTGTATGTAGATTTGTATTATTTTTAAAAAATATTCAACAACATTTCAGATCTTTCTGATTTACAGAAACTGATTAATTCGGTTGACAACCATAAGTGTAATATACATTTAGATTTTTCAAATAAAATTGTACAATTATCTATTAATATGCAAATATCAACTACGCAGTTAACCGTCTGGCGTCCTTGGCTTCTTGAAAAATCAGCAGAATAATTTACTCACCGAAAGATTTGGCTCCTCTATTACCTGCATTTCGTCGCAGTCCATATTGATTTATATATATTACCGTATATATATTTCAAATCACAAAATATGTTTTAATAGAATAATACTTGTGAAATGTTTACAAAATTTGTTTGTTTCTTTGTTCTAATCAAAGATGGACGACTTTAGATGTTCATCCTATCGATTTTACTTCGATATCACGATGACGCGATTTTATGTTCATTGTTGCGGTGGCCAAAGAACTTATATCAAAGAACGTATATGAATAAGAAACGGCTGACGGGAATTTTTCAAATATAAGTTCGAAAAAAAGTAAACAACCAAAACTCTAAAACTATGTAAGATTTTGAAATTATTATTTTTGAAATCATAAAGGACTAAAGAACATTTTCCAAAATTATAATTTGAGCCCTCCGTTGTGTGGCATCGCTAATTTAATGAGTACTGCATGCAGAGAACGTAAAATAACGTTATTATACGTTCTCTGTGTTTCTTACGGCTATTCACAATAGATTTGGGCCGCGTACATTGCTGTTTTGTTCTTGGGTTCGTATTGATTTTGAAAACGAAATTTAACTATTTTAAAGAAAAATGGATAAAGTTGAGCAAAATGATAACACTAATCGAGATGAGTTGATTATGCAGCAACAGCGTGAAATAGAAAAAGAGGTATGTGCACAAATAAAACCACAATCTTCTTATCGATTATGTGAAATTAAGGTGCTTGCGACAAAGAACCGTTCACCTTCCATAGAGAAAAAAGAAACAAATAATTTAGAATTATTGTTGTTCTTACAGATTAGTGATTCGATTCCCCTTGTGAGTGAACAACTGCCCATAACTTGCCTTAATGCAGAGTATCTCGGCGATGACGTTTTCACAGCAAAGATTCAAGATCTTGCCGGCAAGTACAAATTCTTACGGCGAACACGTCCTGATGGGAATTGCTTTTTTCGCGCATTCGCTTACGCTTACCTAGAACACTTGATTTTTAATAAAGACGAATATATACGTTTTAAGGACTTGGCTGATAAATCAAAGGATAAACTCGTGCAATTAGGATTCCCTAGTTTCACGCTGGAAGATTTCCATGATACGGTAAGACAACAATTTCGATTTTATTAGAAAATTATATAAAATTTGTATATTCCAGTTTATGGAGGTAGTTAAGCGGGTAGATCCCTCAACCGGCACCCCAGAAATAGTTTGTGATGAGCTTCATAAAGTTTTCAATGAACAAGGCTATTCTGACTACGTAGTTGTTTATTTGCGTTTACTTACATCTGGCAAACTGCAGGAAGAAGCTGACTTTTATCAAAACTTCATAGAAGGAAATTTTACAATTGAAGAATTCCGTCATCAAGAGGTGGAGCCAATGTATAAAGAATCGGACCATATACATATTATAGCATTATGCACTGCGCTAGGTGTAGGCGTGCGCGTGGAGTATATGGATCGTGGTGACACACAAGTAAAGGCACATGATTTTCCAGAGGGTAGTACGCCTAAAGTATTTCTAATTTATCGACCCGGTCACTACGACATATTGTATCCTAAATAAATTGCCAACATGTAAGATATCAATGCCTCACAGGAAGGACTTAAGCTGCCTGTAATTTTTTAATTTGATAAAATTATATATATGTGTGTTTCTATTAACAGTGGCGTGTATTAAGTATAGCTGCTTTGAAATTATTTTCTACCTTTTCTCCATACATTATAAACATAAATTAAACTGACATGATATTAGCTTCTGCATATGTGATTTTGTAGCAATTATATTTTGCAGCTATAAACATATTTTATAATCACAACTTTTTAAAATGTACGTAGAAAATTCGCGCTCAAGTAAATTGTATACTACGTAGTGTGTAATATATGTATGCATTGAAAATTACTCATGAACTTAACATTTTCTGGAATACTTATATAATAAAATAATGATCTTAATTAATATTATTGAAGTTAAATTATTTTACAAGTGAATAAATATTTTCAAATCTAAAAACCTACAAAATAGCCGTACTTAGTTCTTGAGTATGAACCATCATTATAAAATAAACATAAATAGGAAACAAATAATTAATAGTATTGTATATAATTCGTAACTTAATTTGAACAGATTTTGCCAAATCTTTACTGATGTCGTACTGCTGTATCAACAGTTTTCCCTATCTCTGATAGTGAACATCTTCCCAATCTAATTGCGTCAAAATGTTAGTTCTTCCACTATCAAAAAAAAAAATTCAATAGATTTCATAGTGAAATAAGGCGCTTAATCTTTCAAGTAAAACATATTGTGTTTTTATTTCCATTTTCTATTTATTCTACTTTTCTGTTATAATAAAACAAATAACAAATTTTATTAGTATGCTACACACATCCCAAGATACGTAAAAGTCATACAAATTTTCTCTTCTTTTTTTTTTTTGTTTTTTGTAAATGAACAATTTGGGTATGTATTTATGATTATTAAACAATTAACTATGTACGTTATTACTTTTAGATGATAAATCAATTTGAATTACATTGGGCACGTCCCTGTTTGAAACTTTTGTTTTGTATCTCTGCTTTATTATTATGCTACATTTGATTTATTAGATATATGCATATATATATACGATAATATAATTGAAACATGCAGCCTGTATATGTTTTACAACTTTGAATCCGTTGTAGCTAGTCAATCCGCGGAGCAGACAGCCATAGCTTCTCCTTTCTCCTCCTCAAGTTCCTTGCCAGTTATGGCCAATTTTGATTTGGCAAAATCATCCAGTTGCAGACCTTGAACAATCTTCCACTTTCCATTGCTGGTTTCTACGGGGAATGAGAATACAACATCTTTGGGTGCACCATAGCTACCATCCGAAATAACGCCCATTGAGACAAACTGCCCGGGAGCTGTACCGTGCCACCAATCATGCATGTGATCGCAGGCTGCCTTAGCAGCGGACATAGCCGATGACATTTTACGAGCGGCGATAACAGCCGCGCCACGTTTCTGGACAGTCTCGACAAAGTTACCCTGTAGGAAGGCAGCATCATTGACAGCATCCCAAACACGCTTGCTGGTACCGTTAACTTCGGCGACACCATTACTGGGGTCAGGGAATTGTGTTGACGAGTGGTTGCCCCAGATAACGACGTTCTTAACGGCGCTTATTGGTACGCCCAATTTGGCGGCGATTTGTGCAGTAGCACGATTCTGATCCAACCTTGTCATGGCCGTGAAATTTTCACGTGGAATTGATGGTGCATAGTGTGAGCATACCAATGCATTGGTATTGGCCGGATTACCAACAACCAAAACCTTAATATCCTTACGTGCATGCTGATCGATAGCTTGACCTTGTGCCTTGAAGATTTTCACATTGGCCGAGAGCAAATCCTTGCGTTCCATACCTTCTTTGCGTGGCATGGCACCGACCAAGAAAGCGGCAGCGACATCCTTAAATGCTACAGCTGGATCAGCAGTGGGGATAACTTGGCGCAACAGTGGTAGGGCACAATCGGCCAATTCCATAACAACACCCTCCAGTACGCCCATCATTGGTGGAATATCGAGTAAATGCAAGACTAAAGGTTGATCCTTACCGAAAACCTCACCACGTGCAATCATATACAGTAAAGAGTAGGCGATCTGACCAGCAGCGCCAGTGACAACAACACGAATTGGCTCAGCCTGTGGATGAAACAAAAGAAATGTTGGTGTAATCAAAAAATAGTTGATTTATCATTGTTGTTGTTCGCTAACCGTGAAGCAAAATTAGTACAATCAGCAATACTTTCTAAGTAAAATAGTAAAAAAGTAAGAACGACAGGAGAGCAAAAAAGCATTTGTATAGAGAAAGGCGTTGTTGGGAGCGGAGGTTTAAAAGCTTTCGTTCTATTAATGGCCCGGTAATGAATACCTTCAAGTTTCGGATAAAGAATAACTTCAAAACCTAATATCAATTCAACATTGTAGCGATTGTATCAAACGGATATTTTATGCAGATTCTATAAATACCTATTCCCATTCTAGTTTCATTTTAAAACAATAAACACTTGTCACAGATTAAGAATTCCCTTTTAAACAAAACCGCACCATTAGCAAGTCTTTTGTTTACAAAAATGCGATAATGTAATGCTATTATTGCATTCATTTATCTGTTTACTTTGCAAAAAAGCTATTCAAAATTTTATATCTTCTGTAAAGTTGCCAAAAAAAAGGGGGAAATTTCTTTTACATTACCTTCCTCAACTAATAGTATAGACTATATTCATATGTATGTACATATGTAGCTGCACATTGTGTACAACAAAAAAAAACACAATAGTATTCACATTAATTCATATAAAAAGATATATTACATCAAATAAAATGATCTGCCCTGACATACTTGTATTTATATATGTATTTCAGTGTAACTTTTCTACTCTTAACTTTTATTTTTACTGTCATTTATCACAATTATCTTATTTTTACAACTTTAGATGGTATAGTAGAAATAATCAATTTTTTGAACAATTATCTCAAATCAACTTATTTCATAATCGCATATTTTATTTGTATATTCAATATACACATGTAAGTATATGCATACAAACAAGAATTAATTAAATATTATTGCTTGACAACAAAGTTTATGTTGATCAGTGGTTACGAATACATTGAAAAAAATGACAAGCCTCCTCCCCACACGGTAATAAACACTGCATATCTTAATATAGCTACATATGTGTGTTAGGAGTAAACATTCAAACAAATAACATTCTTATATTTAAACGAATTTATTATTCTCGTAAAATAACAGTTGTCTTGGGATAATACGCGTTTCAAAGTTATTCATGTACATACGCAGATACAGTAAGTATGTGGCAGTTTCGGCACATTGGATGTGCTATTAAAATATATTTTCTAACTTAAAAAAAATACAATATTTTGCCGCATAAAACTAAATACTTCTTCATTCTCCCTTATATTTCGGGCAATGTATGTATATACATTTATGTATATACTAATAAAATTCTATTTTAAAGCATGAAAATAAAACATTATTATATTCAAATATGTTCTTATCAGAGAAGCCTATAAATATTTGTGTTCAAATTTAAGTCGTATACTATATATGTACGTGCATAAGTTGTTCCGGCCGGCTTGTGTTATAAAGCTACTTGTAAAAGTAGATCGATAAGAATTCAGGGTCATCTCTTTTAGAGCATGGAATTATCATCTTTCACATGCGCACATATATTAAAGTGCAAATTGTTGCAAGTGTGTTTCTATTTATATATGTATATGTATATACACAAGCTCATAGTATGGCCGGATGTGTTTCTTATGACGTTGTTCATCTAGTATCCAACAACAGCAAGTAAGACTATGAGTGAGTGTAGATATGAAGGCAAAGTTCTAATTTCACTGCCAGCATATGTAGATCTTTTTGCCTACGTGCACGTATATGGTTAAGGTACATAATTTTGTTGTATGGGACTGATTTATATCTGTTTGCACTAATCATTTCCACTTCAATGCAAAACCAAAAGGTCAAATGAATGTTACGATGGGTTTTGGAAGTATACAGTACACTTAATAATTATACTCCCCGCTTTTCCTTCTTATATAAAGACTTATGGAGTGAGACCACTAACGAAGATTTTACATTTTTTGTTGTTAAATTTGTTTTTGTTAAAAATGTTATAATTTATTGACTTACCATTTTTTGTTGATTTCTTAAAAACTTGCTGGATGCAACAAAATTGGGAAAAAAAGTCAAATGAATATTAAAATTCACTTAGCACAAAATTTTGCAAAACGTATTTTACACAGCACCAAACAGTTGGATGTAGAAAAAGAGAATGAAGGGAAACTCAAATGTCAATTTTACTTTGGATTTTGTGCTTAAAAACAGAGATGTCTACGTTGTGTAGAGATGCATTTATACTTGTTTTAATTAAATACGAACTTCTAGCATGCGTGCACGCGCGTGTAGCAGCTGATAAATCATCAGCTAGGTTCGTACAAGTGTATGAGCACTCCCCCACAGGTTTGATAAATAAAAGCAGGGCATCTGAAAATGGAATAATTTTCTGTTCTATTTTATTGGAAAACATTCAACAGATGATATGAAAAAGACACCAGTATCACTATATAAATAAAAAAAATCCAGTATTTTAATTTCAAAACAAATTCTCTTCAGCTGGAAATATTAAAAAATTGTTATTATTATTAGTCAATTACAGAATAAACTCGTCGTATATTTGTATTTAACAATCCATTCATCGAGCTCCAAGGATTTAGGAGGTCATTGAGCAGTATTTAAGGAAAACTGTTACAAAAAAAATTAAATATTCAATTTTTTTTCAAAACAATTGTTAAGTAAATCTGCATTTAAAAACTTCTGCTCAAAATTCCTTTAAAAAATCCGGGATTTTATTTTTCCATCACTGGGGCTCTGCATTTTCGTGGTAAAAACCATAATGATTAATTGAATCTTGGTGCTTCACTGTAGCCACAGGCTGCTGCTTTATTTTAGTTTTATATTATTGTTTCACTTGTATGTTACTACTGGTTCTGGTGAGTTTTATTTTGAATTTTTTCATCGGTTTTATTTATATAAAATCTTATTGTCATAATTGGTACATAAAAAGCTTGAAAGCAAAAATGATAAAATATAACTCAAATTCAGATCCGATCCGTGCTAAGTTCTAAAACCTGAAACCTGCAACGAAGGAAAAAAGCCTAAAATAAATTCATTATCATGAAGCCGGAATATACTTGTGTGTAGTTCTACCGTAAATTCGGTCAACAATCTCATTCGAATTTAGATTGCGATAAATTGCATTTGATAGATTACAGAAGACGATATCCAATTCAATTCTCACTTCGATAGCAATCAAATTTCAGAGAGCCATGTAGGAAATAGGCATGTTCTTGTGATTCCTCCACTGTTTCCCTGTTTTCCCTTCTAAAGCGCGTTAAAATAACAAGTGAAATTCAGATTTTGTCGTTCTGGCGTATTTTCCATAACTAAGTTCAATTATTTATGACTTAATAAATAAATAAATAACTTATTTATTTTATTGCTCTCTGGCTTCCGTCAGAGGATCTATAATAATGAGGTGGTGCAAATTCATAGCACTACTTATAAGTTCTCTGACAACTTCTGAAAAATAGTTGTTTTTTCGGTGGTTTTTTGCTACGATTCGAACAAATCCGTGGAAAACAAAAAGTAGTCTGGACGACCGAAGTTGTTTTCGGCTGCAGATGAGCGGTGGATAGTGCAGCAAATCAAAAAAAATAAATCCAAACATGAGCCCTCCCAAGCTCTCAACAGAAGTTTTGCAACATCTCAATATAAATTGTAATCCGGAGAGTATCCGAATAGTCTTACGAAAAAATAATTATAATGGAAGAGTAGCACGGAAGAAACCATTTATAAACGAGGTTAACCGAAACAAAAGGATAAAATTTGCAAAATGTCATGGGGATAGGGATTTGCAATTCTGGAAACAAATTTTATTTGCAGATGAAAGTAAATTCAATATATTTAGGTCTTATGCTTGGAGAAAACCGAATGAAGAGTTGCTAGAAAAGAATTTACGTCGGACTGTTGTATGCCCGCAGCTGGTGCTGGAAATTTGTGTTGCATAAATCGTGATATGAACCACAAGCAATATCTGATGTTCGTTATGGCTGATGTATAACTGTCCTAAAGTGCTTGAAACACCTCCTCAATCTCCCGACATTTACGTAATTGAACATCTGTGGGCTCATTTGGAAAATAAACTGATAATGCATGTTATTAGAAATAAGAAAGACCTAGAAGCCGCTAATTTGGAAGATTGGGTGAAAGTAAATTCTTTAACATGCAAGAAGCTACTTGAATCTCTCCCAAGAAGACTGAATGCTATCAGAAAAAGTAGAGGCTTGCCGACAAAATTTTAAGAATATTTTGATTCTCTTTAAATGATATTTTTATTTTCTATATATATGTCCGAGTTCTTTTTTGTCATCAGTTTTAAGTTGTTATGTTCATATCCTTTCATACGACCGAGTTGAATTTAGTTTGTGGTTTTGCTTGTTTTGAAAAATACACTTGAAGAATAGAAATATATGTTAACAGAAAGCCCTCGATTTGCATTTTATTATATATTTTTTTGTTTGAAGTCATATAACTTGGGTGTCCGAGCTCATTGTGGCGAAGAGAATGAATGTTTTTCCTCTTTCAAAACAAAACAATAAGAAATAAGGAAAAAACAATTGTGGAATTGTAAGCGGTCCCCTTAATATAAAATTATGCATAGCTGTGGCAGCTATCAGCTGATCACGCATTTGATTTGAGGAAACAAACAAGCAAAAGCGAAAAAGAAAATATTCAAAACAGGACCTTTGTTTCGGCAGCGTTTGTCCGTGTTTTGAATTCATGATTTCAATAGTCGTTACAAATTTTGCACACTGCAAATGTAAACAAAAATCAGCTGTTTGAGTTAACTCACTTTCGGTGGAAACGTTTGACATTTCAGAGGGCTTAAATTTACGTGCTCGGTGGAAATAGGCTATTAGGTTTATATCTTTTAACATTTTTTCCCCATGTAAATTTTTCAAACTCGTTAGATGTTTCAACGTTTTTTTAAAGTTGTATGAAGGACAGTTCGAACAAGAAAAGAAATTCATTTGAACCTTTTCATTATTATAAATTCTCTGACCAGTTCCGCTTTTCGGTAATGTCACACTATTGAGCTGTTTTCTTTTTATAATTTGTGTTCTTCGGTAAAAGTATAAAGATGCGTAAAGTCAACATAAAACTCAAAGGAGAATCATATTAACAAAACTAACAAAGTATGCCATGCTAATCACAGGCATATCATGTTGCATAGTTTAATTTATTTTAAGCTACATGCATACATATATTATAGCTACAATTAATACAAAGCATAATTCATTTGTAATTACATACATATATAATATAATATAAATTCAAGTGTACATAATTTATAGCCGTATTAATTTAAAAAAAGGAGAGAAAATACATAGAGTAGTTATTTTCACACAATGCTATCTATACCGCGTGAATGCGCCGATAAAATCTTGGATTCACTCATTTTCAGCTATACCAACTAATATTTGTTCGCTTATGATTGAGGCTGCTCAGTGGCAGCATAATTAAAAAGCACATGATTCGCATTCGTACCATTACTGCTCCGACTTCCAGTTCATATGTACATCATTTCAGCCATTGTAGACATCTTTTTCGGTATATGAACAAATGTGTCAAAATAGCAAGCAAGTTCGTCAATAGTGACATCATCGCCATTGCCGTTGCTATTATGTACTGCGGTGGCACTGTTACCGGCTTGTTGGGAGCATGATGTACTAGTAGTGGAACGTGCGCCAGACCCTGTATTTCTATCCGGAGAAGTAGATTGTATGTCATTCTGCCGAAATTTACTTCTCTCTTTGTTACTAAATAAACTTCTTGGTGGTATATTAGGCTGCATAGTTGTAAAATTCTTTGACAATCGCTGCTGGGGGCTAACTAACCCAAATCGTCCTTTTACATCCTTCTCCAAATTCAGTAAATTTTGGCATTCGTGCATTAAATCACGAAAATCGGAAATTCCTCGTTTTGCACTTGTGGACGTTGTTTCTTTGCTGGTACAAGGTGATATATAAATGTTTCTTACAGCATATGAAGAACTTTGATCCGTTTCTTCTTTAGGCGATAACTGGATTAGCATATGTAGATTTTGGAGCTTACGCAACACCGGTGGGCGCAAAATAACCCTGCGTTTCTTTAGAGACTGCTTTTGAACTCGTAATGTGCCGTGAGAACTGCTGGATATATCTGGATCTTCTATCGACAGAACCGTAGTAGCCGAGCCGAGTGATTCAGCGACACTCTCGGAACGACGTCGCAGCCTACAACGTCTGCAACCTTGATTTTTGTGTAGTTTTTGTACCGATATTGAAACCAACTGCTTTTCTTTTTCTTTCAATTCCTTGGTTTCAATATCACCTTCATAAAATGGATTTAACCTTAGCGGTATATGTGTAGTATCTAGAAGATCATGTGTGGCCAAATGAGCTATATCTGCTGAAGTTATTTCCAATTTACGGAGTTCGCCTGAAATATCCTCCGACATTGTGATATGTTAATTGTGCCGTGCTTTCATAAAAATGTATCGACTACTTGGAAAACCGGACTTTCACCATTTGTTCACAATGTTGGCGGGATTTGTTATAAGAATTTGAGACCCCCAAGCTTCTGCTGAAGTATTGATATTTGTACGTCTACAAAATTTGTTATTCGTCTCTTTTTTCGTGCCTTATTTTTGTTTTGGTTTCATTCTTCTCAGAGTGTTTATGTAGTGATGTGCGTTCTTTTTAATTTTTTCTCGAATTGTTAGCATATATAAGAATGCGCAATTTCTAAATTTTTAGTTTTTCATTCGACTTTAAACACAATTTCTTTTCTCTGTTATGAGTGATTTGCTAAAATCTTCCTTATTTTTATTTTTTTTCAATACCATACGTAGCGCGTTCAGTGAATGGTGTTGTTTTTCACATATGTTTCCATCTTTTTCTGGAAGGAAATAATGCCAGACTGCAAATATGATTCAGTTTACCTACAGAAACTTTTGTTGCTTATCATGGGCAATTTTCCCTTTTTGTTTTGCTCTGAATTTGCGGAGTCATGAAAAACAAGTGTCTGATAAGTCTAAATCTATTTACAGAGATACTTTTATCGCTTATTATAGTAATTTTTTTTTGGCTCGCTCTTCACATTCACACAGAGATATTGGGTTGCCCAAAAAGTAATTGCAGATTTTTCATATTGTTGCGAAAATGCGATGCGAATGTCAGATGAAAGAGAGAAGCCGATAACTAGTACGTTCTAGAAACGATAAAACAAGAACCTTCCATAGCGAACAATTCGATGCTTCTACGCTTTCGTCTGCGAGCAGCCGACTGCTATATAAAGGCGACACTCAGCTGCAAGTCGAGTTAGTGACAAAGTGAACTCGTTGGCGTTAACATCAGTAAAGTCGTAAAGTAAACG